TCTTTCCGGTTTATCTGAGTTGGCAGTTGTTTTCGGTTCCCACGTTTTTTTTCTGACAGCCCAAACACAAGATAATGAAGTAAAGTTGTAATTATAGGCCATTTTCTTGGTTGTCAGTTTTCCAAATGGGCCTTTCTTCATTGTTTTTATCAAACAAACAGCCAAGCAGTCACAAAAAGCTAGCGTCGCTTGACGCTGGCATCGCGATTAGTTAGTCTTAGGTTTGTTCCTTGGCTAATAGCGACTATCACGAAACCGTCGAAACATGAATGCAGCTAGCGTTCCTCAAAGGAGTAGCACCTTAAATTTGAACAAAATTCTGGCTCTCTGCAAATGACATCTTGCATAAAAATCCGATAGAAAGTCTAAGCCTTGACTAACAATTTGCAACGAGTAAATAGTATTTTATTCCGCGGTTCCCAAACTCTAGTTTTTCCATTTCTTCATCGCGTGGCAGCTACCATCATCAAATCCGTACTTTTTGTTAGGAACAATCCAATAGGGCTGAGCATGGTTCGGTTCAAACCGAAAAAACCGACCGAACCGATCCGAACCGACCCGAAAAAAGCAGTTTTAAGAGTAAGGCGGTTTGGGTCGGGTTGACAACTTTTCAAACCGACCCGACCCGAACCGACCGAATATATTCCCAAAACTTTCAAACCCGTTCGCGTTTACCCGACCCGTCCCAAACCCTCAACCCTAACTTCATTTCCTCTCATTCCCAAATCCCATCCGCCGCTACTCATTCCCAATTTCCCATTTCGCTCGGCCTCAATCCCTCTCTCTCGCTCTCTCTCTTCTTCCAAGACCCCGACCCTTACTCTCAAGGTACATAGTATTAATTTTTCTTCAATTTCCTCTGTTGTTGTCTTTGAATTGAACATGAAGTAGGTGGAATGGACGCTTCTTGTTGGAGTATGTTAGTGCCCTTTGAGTTGGATTTTCCCCATTTAATCACTCAATTCAGCACTTCTATGTATGTTGTCCCTTGGGTTAGTTGTTGATTCAAGTGTGCACGATGCTTAAGTATCTTAGTCGTGGCTCAAATGATTTGCATTTGGGCGCATATGAAAACAAATATATACAAATTATCTCTTGGGACAAGCAATATTTGTGCATTTGATTGTTATACTTGATGAAAGTTAGAACCGAACAAACCGAACCGAACCGCACCGAACCGATTTGCAACGGTTCGATTCGGTTTTGAATTATAAGTGGTTCGGTTCGATTGTTCAAATTTTGGTAAAGACCGACCCGAACCGAACCGTGCTCACTCCTACAATCCAATACGTTCTCAGAACTACTCTTTTCAACTTCAAATCTTTTAAAAAGTACCGGATCCGCTTAGCCCATCTCTTTACTTTCACCTCCGGTAACCACACCGCAACCCAGTTCAAACCGCTAAACAAGGGGAGCGCAGGCGTTCCCTCCGGGATCAAGAAAACGATAAATACCAAGAAGCGCAGGCATTCTCCCCTCTTCCTTCTCGCAGCAAGAAAGAAAAAGGGGAGGGGGGGAAATAATCTCATTTTTAGGGCTTTCGTTTTCCCCCGAAAGATGTCGTCGGTTCGTCGTCCGTCGAACTCATCGTCGGTGGCCACGCGAGTCGTCGTCCCCTTGCAAAGCGGCGGGCGCGGCGGATAATGGAAGTAATGCGGCGGTTCCAGCGGCCTCGAAGGCCGCGGCAGCGGTTCTGGCGGTGGAGCACCGCAGGCCAAGAAGAGGATCGCGCTGGCGAATTTGACCAATCAGGGAATCGCGGGAAGGGAGTTTGCTGGGGTGCCAGCTGCAAAGGGTTCCAATGTGAGTGAATTTTCTTCTTCTTTTGCAATTGTTGTTCGTTTTGTTTGATACGGGCCTTTAAATTTTAGGGTTTTGTCAGATTAAACCCTAATTTGTTTCTCTTAATTTTTTGCTTCAGGCCCTCTTCATTATTCTAATTTACACCCTCCCTCGAGTCTATTTGGTTGCTTTAAATAACAACCCCCAGTTGTATTTGGTCCATAATTGTATATACTTAGATTTGGAGTTGTAAACGGAAATTATGAGGATTTGGTTAAGAAAGAATTTAGGGTCCGATAGGACAAAACCCTATGTGCAGGATATGGTCACAAAGGTTGAAACTTGATGGTAGGTTCCTTGTGTCGTGACCATCTGTTGGTGGAAAATATGAAGATTTGGGAGCCTAATATAAAATCCAGAAGGAATTTAATGTCTATTAGACTATCTCCAGCAGGTGGAGATTGAGGGGTTTTTTTGCTCCAGCAGGTAGAGATTGGGGGGGTGAAATGGGAAATGGGAATCGGATGAGTGAAAATTTCACCTCCGGTTTTCTCTCCGTGTGGGTCCCGCAACAGTAGATCAACCCAAGCATCAAGGCATATGTCAAGGCTTGATTGGTTGGCTTTTTTTGTTTTACTCCTAATTTTTAAATGATATTTTGGGAGATAAATACTAGGAATTAATTTATAATTTTTATATCAATAATTTTTATTTTTTCACCTCTATAAATAGAGATTAGTCTTGTGTAATTTGGAGACCAAAAAAAATTTGAGTTTTCAACACCTTATTCTCCTTCTCTTTGCTTTTTGTTAATATAAAAATATTATCAAAAATTAAATTAATAATATATATTATTTATGTAAATATTAAAAAATTATAATTATAAATAAATGAGTTATATTAGTAATAATAATAGTAGTAGTAGTAATATATATGAAATAAGAAAAAGAAATGAATAAATAAGGTGGGGTATATATGTTGGAGTGATGGGGTTATAATGGGTCCCAAATAAAGTAAAAATCTTTTGAAAAAACTCCTGCTGTAGAGATGATAGAAAATGGAGATTGTTGAATTATGTGGAGGGGGAATAAAGTGATGTGGCAGGAGAGAGAAGGTTAAAATTTCGACTCCTGATGGAGATAGTCTTATGACAAAACCGTAAAATCTACAGCAGGATCTGGTAACAAGGTTGGCACTTGATGGAAGGTTTCTTGTGCTGTGACGCTTGTCAATGGTGCTAAGTTAATGTCATTGATTTCTTTGAGTTCTGTGAGAATTGAATGCTTGATGTTGGTTTCTGCACCTTTCGTAATTGAAGGTTAAATTCAGTGACGACAAGTTAATCAAGACTCTAATTTTTAATGTCAATTTTTCTAATTTTGTTCATGATGTGATGTAAGCTTGTAGGGAGGGCTTCATTGCCCAAAAATTTCGTAGATTCTATTTCTAAAATCATAGGAAATTTAGTTTTAGTATTTACCTTAGGTCCCTTCTTCCTTATTTATTTTCTAGCTATTAGTGTTTCTCATGTGCATGATTTCAGATTGCTGTAATATATTTTAGTTTTCTGTGTATTTTTCAGTATAGTTCTTCCTTGTTTTGAATAAGGTTGGATCATGAAAAACATTTACATTTTTGTTTTATATAATTTTCTTTTTTACTCTCACCTGGTGCCTTAGAAAATTTGCTTCTATGATAAATTTTTTTATTTTTCTTTTTTCTTTTTTTTTGTTTAATAAATAATGAAAATTCTAACTTATATTGAGTTGTTGTGTTTGTTTCTTTTCTGTAACTCTTGTTTTGTTTTTCTTCAAAAAAAAAGTTTTAATTTTCGTTCCATCCATCCTGTGATCTCGTCTTGATTTTGTCTGCCTAATTACATTTAGAGCCTATATTGCTCCATATCTCTTTGAATGTTGATTGTTGACTTGGTTAAATTTGTATGCATTGTGGTTACTTTGTAACCCATGTGTCTGGGGGTTGTTATTCCTTAAATTTACCTTCTTTCTTGTTATTTGATCAGTCCTTATTTTGTTCGTTTGAAATTTGATGATTGGTTTTGATTCTCTCATTGGCTACAGTATCAAGCTTTAGGGAGTTTACAAAACATCTCCTGCCAGAAAGTGTCTATTGAGTATCCAAAAAAGCTTTGCCTACTGGCCATGTGGTACTAATAATATGGACAGTTTTTCTTTCTGACTCTTACCGTTTTCTGGTCCTAAGTCATGCCAAATTATGTGTCATCAAATAGAACATTTATTGTGAGTCATGTAATATGCTCGCTGGTTCCTTCTAAAAAATCCTTAATAATTGCTCCTCAAGTTAATTCTGAGTGAAATATATTGGCACCTGCAATACATTCACTAGAACATTAAGTTTCCTGCGCAACTTTGAAAGCTTATGCTTGCTTTTCATTATCCCTTTTTTGCTACAAATTCTTTGGTGCTTGTAGTTATTTTTCATTAGCAATGGAAACAGTGTCATTGGTCAGAGAAAAAGAGGGAGAGGGTCGTCTTCGAGGGAGAGCATTAGGGATTAGGATCAAGGGGAGAAATTTAAGGATTGGAGTTCACATAGGGATGTTAAATGGGTGGGTTTGGGTATTAAATGGGCGGGCCATAAATGGGCGGGCATGTTTTGCCCATTTGCCCATTTATGGCCCATTTAACATGTTCTAAATGGGCGGGTTTTTGCCCGCCCATTTAATAAACGGGCCGTCCATTTGCCTATTTAACTGTAGTAGCTATATATAGATAGCACTTTTTGGGGTGTTTTTTGTAAACTTTTTGGGGGCTTTTTACAAACTTTTTGGGGATTTTTTGCAAACATTTTGGGGCTTTTTGTAAACTTTTCTTTCTTCTGTAGTACTCATGTCCAGAAACTCAAAAATAACCAACTTTTTAAAGAATGTCAACTAGGTTTTATATATAATAAAATAAAATATATTTTATAAGAAAATGAAACAAACTTTAGGACTTTGAATCCAAGAGAAGGAGGTATACCTGACTGTGAGCTGGAGAAGTTGAGTAGCATTTATATATCTGCCAATTGTATATGGAAATTAGAAAACTACACTCACACAAGTTGAGTAGCAACTTCACCAACAAAACAGTAATAAAATCACTTCTATATACAATTGGCAGAAGGCCTGTGAGGAAAATATACCAAAAAAGAATACATGAGGACTGCAGAAGGCCTGTGAGGAATCAAATATACAAGATATTCAAGATAATATCTTTAAAGGATCTGCAGATGTCTTTAGATATACACGAGGTCGAGCATCAATTTGCTCGCTTAGATGTCTTTAGAAAACCAAAGACTAAAGTCTCTTTAGATGTTCATCCAGTAAGATACTTCATTTAATTCCTTTAACTTGCAACCAGTTTCTTAATTGACCTGCTAAATGGAAAATTAAATCAGTGTAAAATTAAAAAGGAAAACAAGTCCATTATAGTGTAACAGTCATGTGGGCTGGAAGGTGAATAAATGATTATTCCCAAATATTGTGAGTTGTTTGATGCCATAGATACCATAGCAGGGCTCGAGAGGAAGAAACGGTAGAATGGTGGCCAGTAAATTAGAAACTAATGCAGAGAAAGTACACACGGAGAACATTTCAGACCTTGGACCTCGCTTCTTTGACTCCCGATTATCTTTATTTCTTTTTGCCTTCGCCTGCACAAAAATGTAAGATTTAGAAAGTACACATAGAGATCATCTCTTTATTTCTTCAAAATGTTTATCCCCCATCTTATGTGTAGAGAAACAAGAGATTATTGCAAATAAGCTTGCTTATAAGAGATCATAGGAAAGAGAGGATCATTCAGAGGGTATATATGAAGTCATTACTATGCCAAATTTACTGCACACATACACATACTGAAGTTGCACAAACAATGTCTTTTATGCACACATACACATACTGAAGTTGCACAAACAATGTCTTTTACATGGAAGAATTGTGAAAATTAAGGTCTGCATCTATTTCATTCATCAGGATGGATAGCTGCAACCAAATAATGAAGAACTGAACATGGAAGTTAAATAAACACTCTAGACAATGAAGACCTCACAATCGTTATCAGGTGCAGGATATCACAGTTGACAGCCAGATACAAATACACTTTTCCCTGCATATAATTCTTGATATAGAACAAAAAGAGCGCGAAAAAGACCACAAATTGCATACGATGGAAAACGTTCGAAAACTAATCTGCTTTTCATAAAGAAAGTTGAGGAAACAAGATTAAAAGTCGCCATCAATGATTTGATGATGCATTGACAAGCCTTAAAGAAAAAAAATTCAAATGTCAAATGGAGGCTTCCAAGTTCCAGCCACTTCAAAAAACACTCAAATCTTCACCTTAAAGACCAACTAACTTCAGTAATGTTTTGTGTGCAACCAGCCTAGTAGTAACAAAATACAAGGAAGTTAAGAGCTCGGGCCATTGTCATCCCAAATGCATGAAATTGAATGTAGTCATGTTTATCACCAATAACGGGTGTATCAGAAATCATAACTTCTACTAGGAATGTGTCTAGATTCTCATGCTCTTATTCAACAAAACATAATTCAAAATTAGCATTATTACCAGCAATAGTTCAAGTAATCTTTCTTTAGAGGAAGATAAACATGAAAATCTAGCTCCCAAATTTTCAACTAAAACAAATCTAAATTCATAACAAAATCCAAAATTAGCATTTGTCCTACAACCAAAACTGTAAATTTTCACTAATCAATCGATCACACCCTCATTTTATCAGCTTAAAACAAAATTCCAACCTAAATGGATTACACCGCTAATCAACTTTTGATGTTTGTCTTCTTTTACGTTTAGAAGTACTCTCATCACCACTACCATCATCATGGATGCTAAATTGATCATTTAAAGACATGATAGCTGAAAAAACTAATATAATAACACATCAATTTTGGGTAGCAAACACATAATAAAGGAGCTAAATTAATAGATTCTGTACTATACATACAGAGGACCAACTTGAGTGGAGATCAAGGGAAA